AAAAAGTCAAAGTGCCCAGGCGAGCGTCCTACATGCTCATATTGTGAGCGACTGGGACAACAATGCGTTTACAATGCGCCTGGCGGCGAGGTGCCAGACTCGCAACTCACAAAGCACAACAGAGAGATGGTTCGTTTTCCAGTAGAGGTTTGACTTGATTATGCGACGGTGCTAATTCGAGGCCCGCGTCGTTAGGAAACCCGACTCAATAGTCTAGAGGATAAGATGGACCGCTTGATCCAGCATCTGAGGTTCGCCAACATTGTTCAGGCAGCACAGTAGCAAAAGCAACTCACGTTTCTAACTTGAAGTAGTCCTGTGTCACATCATACCCAACCATCCGTCGCGTCTCGCCATGTGCTCTCACCCAGACTCAGCGTATCTGCAGAGGAAGTAGGCCCAAAACCAGACTCAGCTCCGCCAGCATGGAGTCCTACGTATGTAAACCTCAATCATGCAATCGGTTCCATCCCTATCCCAAACATCTGCTTACACTCGACAACCTAGAAGCCCATCAAGTGCCGCCGAGGCGCAGTTAATGGACACAGGGCGTCGCTACCTCTTGTGGTTCCACGCCCAGCCCATCACCCTATTCGCTGAGGAGACATTTCTGCATTCTCTCGCCTCGCGAGATCCAGAGCTGATCCTATCGCTCCAAGCCCTGGTCCTACGATGTCCGCCAGGGTCCCTCACGAGCCAGATCAAACAGCAGGTGGACGACCTCGCAAGATCGGCCCGCCGCATGGTCATGGAGCGAGTCACGGAAGGGCGCGTCGAGCTGTCGACGTTGCAGTCACTATGTCTCTTGAGCATGTTTGATTTCGCCAGTAAGCGTTCCGAAAAGGAGCCACCACTTCATCATCATCACCTAGCTGACATGCCCTCGTAGCTGGTAACATTATGCAGTCCGGGCTCAGCATCACCACGGCGAGCCACCTCGCACACAGCATCCCACCAACAAACAACCCCAACAACGCTCAAGAAAGGAACTACTGCCTAAGGACAATCATCGTCCTCCAACATCTACAGGGCTGTATAATGCCCGCCCCGCGGCTCATGGGCGCCCTCCCAGGCTCCTCCACCAACAGTGGCTCCCACGTCCTTGGGCTCACGGCATACTGCGGGATCCCAGAGTATAACCTCGACGACAACCCGGACAAGAATATCTCTACCGTCGCCTCCGACTTCTGCGTCGTCTGGAGAATGGTCCGTGTCTACGCCTCCTCCAAGGTCAGCCCCGACGCCCCCCCGCCCTGGGACTCTCGCTCCGACTACTCCATGGTGCTGCAGAGCCACCACGACATTGACTGCCGGGCGCCGCAGAGGTTCCGCTTCGCAACGAACCGCATCGACCAACAGAGTCCCGAGTCTCTACAGGCGCAGCGGCAGTATTGGATTCCCTTCCTCTTCAGCCAGTTCGTCCACGAGACTATCCCGTGTCTCCTGAACCACCCTTTCCTGCTGTCCATGCGCCTGCGGCATTTCCGACACACCATACCCGTACATTTCATCCAGCAGTCTTTTGAGAGTATGAATCGGACTGCCGGCTGGATCATCTTCTTCTTGGACGTGATTGAGAAGAAGTCGCTGCCGGTCATGGACCCGGTCATGGCGCATTGCGTCGTCATCGTGGCGACAATCCACCTACAGCATAGTTTCGTCCATGATCAAGTACTCAGGAGCAGAGCAAAATCCGGCTTCGAAAAGTGTATGAACTTTTTACGGAAGACAGGAGCCGTTTGGCCAAGCGTCGCCAACATGGTGCGTCACCCTTTGCCCCTGTCCAATTTACATTCTCAACTCCCCATGGACAATACTAACCATTTCCTAGGCAAGCAATCTCCGACGCCTTCAAGACAGCGTCGTAATGAAGTCGCCTCCCGATCGCGGCGACAACACCTCCCAGAACCGCTCATTCTCCATAAATACCCAACTCCTCTGGGACCTCCTCATCTACGACCGCGCCTGTCGCCCCGACGCAGGCTGGGACCAGTCCATGTTCGGCGCCACCCTTCGCTCCGACGCCCGCGAGCTCTCCACCGAGACAGGCGCCGCAGAGTTTGACCTCGTCGGCTCAGCCGGCATCTCGGGCCACAAGGCTGTGCCCAACGACGTGGGTGTGTACGCTCCCAATGACGACATTGCACCTGTGTCGATTGCGGAACAGGCCCCTACATCGTCTCATTTGGTCGGGCAGGGGCTGGGTGATATGGGGCCTTCGTTTGAGGATATCTTTTTCGAGGGCGTAGGTCCGTTTGGAGACCAGTCGAATCGGTTCATTGAGGCGAACGATTATGGGCGAGCGATTGATGATTGGTTGAATCTTGAGAATTAGTACATTATCACGACAAAATAGCGTATAGTCATAATGACCACATTTCTACCCATGATGAAATCTTCTCGATGCCTCTCGAATCGCACGGCTCAGTCCCATCCGGCGACAACTCTCATGTTAACTCAAAAGGCCCCTAAGTGCCCAAGTGCTGAAGTCATAGCCTGATACACTTGCCCACGGCTCCAGCAGTATCACCGTACGTAAAGAGACGATATGCCTTCCCAGGATAGAGTCATCACCAGGGATCGAGGAGCATTGAGTTTGTCAACACATCAAAAAAGTCGCTAATCAATCTGTACCCTTGCGAACCTATAATCAAGGCTTCCACCAAACTCATGAAGTACTCAACAACGAACGAAACGCTAGTCTACAATTTGACCTCTACCGTTCTCATCCATCACTACGTTACTCACCAAGCCAACCCCTCAATCTGCCCCTGCCCAGCCCCACAATCAAGACTCCGACAAAAAGACACATCCTCCCCCGTCTTGTCAGAGACATCATGCTTCGGCGTCGCCGGCCAAATCTCGCCGCCCTCCTTATCTTCTTGCTCCTTGTGCCGCATCACAAGGTTCCGTGTAATCTCCTGGAAGAAGAGCGGTCCCTTTTCTACGCGCGGGTGGAGCTCCCCGTTCATGAAAACGCCCGCGTTCAAATTCTTCTGCGCGCCGTTGCAGAGGTCTTTGTCTTCGCGGAGGACCTGCTTGAAGAAGTCTGAGATGTAGTTGAAGGCTTCGTCGGTGGCTGTGTTATGGCGGTAGACTTCGTATTCCATCTTGGATTGGGTTGATGAGACCGGGACGCAGCGTTGGGTGTACATGAAGTCTGGGCTATGTAGACAAAATTGTTAGCCAGCATTCTTATGTGCTTTGAAAGCTTGTGACTCGAGGGGGAGAGATTCTTACGTGACAGTCATGGATGCGTTAGGATAGAGGTAGCAGCTGTGAATGCCCAGACCAGGAACGGTCTCCTTGTCGACGTTCCAGTGCTGGATCCAGTTTCCTTGCGTTTCGACCCAGTACCTTGTCAGGTCAGTGGTAGCAGCCACTGCAGGGTGACCAGTCTGGCAATGATAGCACTACATTTTGATATCACAGTCAGCCTCGAGATCCAGAGGACACCCAAGCTCTCACAACTCAAGGATAAAATTTGCAAACGTACCTCATTGTAGTTATCCGCAAGCGTCTTCCAGTTGTAATCACCCAGCATGTCCCACGTGTGATCAAAGTGGTAGTCATCCAAATTAAACCCCTCCAACCGCGGCTGCGTATCCACCTCGGCGAAGAACTCCTCCCACGGTACCGACGGCTTCTCCGCGCCATCCAGATTCACCCAGATGAAGCCGAGCTGATCTACATGAACATGGACCTTGAACAGACTGTTCTTGCTTTTATCGAACGAGGGCAGCTCTTGGTACTTGGGCGCCTTGGCCAGCTTGCCGTCGAACCCATACGACCATGCTAATATACCAGGGTAAGCATTGCACATTCTGACAGATAGAATCTTGCTGAATAAATCAACTTACCGTGATAGTTGCAAGCAAGCACACTCATATGTCCGCTGTCCTTCTCCACTAGGGGGTACGCGCGGTGCCGGCAAATGTTGTGGTGACCCCTGATTTCGCCCTTGCGGTCCTTGACGAGAAAGAAGTTGAAGCCAGCCTGGGTAATCTGCACAAAGTCACCCGCCTCGACGAAGCGCGCCTTGTGAGAGACGAGCATCCACCGTTTAGAGAAGATGGCTCGCCTCTCTAGCTCGTACATGGCTGGAGAGCGGTACCATATCGCGGGCAGAGCACGGACGGCCTTTGGCTCGTCGGGTTCCGTTGCAGCGGAAGGTTTGCTGAGGCCGAACCAGCTCATGGTTGTAAAGATACGCTGGGATACAAGACAGAGAGATTTTGGTATAAGTCTGGTTCAAAAGACTTTGTTGAACAAGCTCTAAAGTATGACAGGCAGTTGGACTGACAAAATGCGAAAAGAATTATCGTCTTTAGCTCCCGATTATACTAGCTTGCGGGAGATGTTGCAATATTCACTATTTGTAACAGTACACACAACCCCTGTTCATGATAACGACTCCGCAGTCCGGAGTCTACTCCATCGCTGTGAGGTATGCAATGGGGATCATCCCTTCGAACGTCGGAGTACGGAGCCGAGAAAGTGGGGACGGACCGGGCCTCCGGATCCATCTAATCGGGTGGATTACCCCGATCCAGGAGATAAACGTCCTTGTCCACCTCCGTGGCGTCCCTATCTTGAGCCATTGAGAAACTCTACGCCTATCGGTTTGTTATGATTGTCTCACATTCGATCTGCTCAGAGGATATGGAGGTTTGATGTTGCAATGGGAACGACGCCCGTACAGTTTGTTCTTATCTGCACTCCGCGCATCACACGGGCCGTCTCCGATCACTCTAATCACGCGCAGCCATCTCTGGCCCTGCTTGTCCGCATCATGCAATGACAGTCTCTGGACTTATCAAAATACCTTACCTGCATTAAACTTTGACTTGTGACACTACATCATTGGCATATCAAACTTATCTCTACACTTTCTGATCTTGATTCTAAGACTATCACAATCTGGCACCTGCAATATCAACCCCCCTTGCAAACTTGATCAAAATCCATTGTGACACCTAGCAGAGGCTCATGATCTTACAATGACGGCGAATGGTAAAGTAGAATCGAATGCCAACGGCAGCACACATCACACCGTCAATGGTGTCAATGGCCGTCTGAACGGCAGTTATTCGGCGGCAGAGGCACCACACAGCACAAATGAGACCTCATCACATGTCCATATCAGCGGTACCTCCAACCGTGTCCACGGTAGCTACGTTGATCAATTTGACAATGACACTCCCAAAAAAGATCGCCAGCGGCTTCGTGTAACCATCATAGGTGCTGGGTGAGTAGACAGACCCATGGAATATGAGAGAGAATCTTGGCTTATGGAACTGTGACAGAGTATCCGGGATCTCGATGGGTGAGTCTTGATGCTTCTCACTGGCTACTGTCGATCCCGTGGCTGACTGCTCTAAACCACAGCCTACAAACTTCAAAAGCATCTCAAAGACTATGTCGAGATACATATCCTTGGAAAGTCACCAGAACTTGGCGGGACTTGGTTCGAGAACAGATACCCAGGTTGGTACCCCCTTGTTATGACCTGCAAAGATGACTTCGCTCACTTTCCATAGGCTGCGCATGCGATGTTCCAAGTCACTGCTATCAGTTCAGCTTCGCGCCAAATCCCGACTGGTCACGGTTGTAAGCATGGCATGTCTTCGAGCAAGCAGCATCCGGTAAACTGATTTTATCACGCAGCTATGCTTCATCTCAGGAGATTCAGGCTTATCTTGACGGTGTAGCACGCCATTTCGATCTGCGCAAGTTCATCAAATTCAACACAACAGTGACCAAAGTAGAGTGGTCGGAAGATTCCGGCACATGGTGTGTAAACACCGCGGATGGATCAACGCTCGTATCCGAGATTCTCGTCAACGCCAGCGGCATTCTCAACAACTTCCAAATGCCAAATATTGAGGGATTCGAGAATTTTGCCGGCCCTGTGCTTCACACAGCCAACTGGGATTCGTCCGTAAACCTGAGCGGTCAACGAGTCGGCGTTATCGGGGCGGGCGCGAGTTCCGTTCAACTGCTCCCCGAGATCCAAACAGAAGCTCGCAAAATCAGTGTCTTCATCCGAACACCGTCGTGGATATCTCCGCCGGTAGCCCTGCCAGAGGCCAATCGTCCCGGACACACATACGGCATAGACGAAAAGGAAGCGTTCAGAGAAGATGAGAAGGAGTATCTCGAAACCAGAAAAGGTCTAGAATCGCAGTTCAACGGAATGTTCCAGGCTTTTTTCAAGGCGAATCCAGAGCAGAGAACTATGCGCCAGCGGTTCGAGACGAGAATGAGGAGTCTCATCCAAGACAAGACTTTGCAAGACCAGCTCGTCCCAAAGTTCGAAGCGGGATGTCGACGGATCAACCCAGGGGAGAGGTATCTACTGACACTACAGGAGCCCAATGTCGAGCCGGTGTTTGACGGAATCGAGAGAATCACATCCAGCGGTATCGTCGCGGGTGGTGTTGAGTACCCTGCCGATGTTTTGATCGCTGCGACAGGCTTCAACACCTCGTTCCGACCTCGTTTCCCGATTCTTGGCCGCAACGGCGTCAACTTGCAAGATCTGTGGGCTGATGAGCCAACATCATATTGCGGGACCGGGGTCTCCGGCTTCCCCAATTACATGGTCTTCCTAGGCCCCAACACACCAATTTCAAACGGAAGCCTCATGGGTACGTCGTCTTTTGAGTAGATGTCATTGTTGTTGAGCGACGACTAAGTAGGTCCTTCCAGGCCCCATCGAGGCGACGGGAGATTACTTTATCAGAATCCTCTCAAAGGTCATCAGACAGCGCGTCAAATCCTTTGACGTAAGACCAGAAGCGCAAAGCGACTTTGATAAGCATACTCAAGAGTTCATGAAGAACATGGTGTGGACGGGCACATGTCGCAGTTGGTGTAAGTAAACAACAACCTCCGAGCACCAACCGCGCTCTCCACTTGAGAAAATCGCAATCACTGACAGTGTGTACAAATAGTCAAGAAGGGCGTCACAGGAAAAGTCAGCGCCCTCTGGCCAGGAAGTTCCCTTCACTACATGCAATGCTTGGCTGAGGACCGGTGGGAAGACTACGACTGGCGCTACGACGGTGAAAGGTACTCGTACTGGCGCGAGGGCTTCTCCTGGATCGAGCAGCCCGAGAAGGATCCACTCGGTATCGACCAGCGGGAGTATGCGACGTCCATGACTACCATCCCCCACAGGGCTTCTGATCTCAGCTTCTACCTGCAGAAGGCCGAGTCTCTCCCGCCAGGAGCGGTTGCGTTTGTCCCTCAGGCTCATGAACAGAAGCAGTATGTTGAAGAGGACGTGAAGATAGTGAACAATTTGGAGGGGTCTGGAAAGAAGGATGTCTCAGATGTCGTCAAAGACCAGACTTGTGCGTCTGCTCAGAGTATTCAGAACATCGAAGCTCTCAGACCGAGTGTTATGGTCCCGGTCTAAGAGGCAGACGGTCATAGATGATTCCTTATATTTGCAGCTTCCTTGCAACCGCGATCGGACTCTGTTAGCATAGAATTGTCGGAAATACTAGAAATTAGAGGAATGATTCTAAAGCATCTAGCAACAGCTGTGGCGACCAAGTATTTTATGGATATGAAGTAATGCCCAACACTAGAGGAAATCTACAACAAGAAGATATCTAGGAGAAGAAGGCTCACCACCGAGGGGTAAGCTGTGAAGCGTCAAGGGAATTCGGGGCGAGTAGTTCCTGTGGACATGGCCAGTGTAGTCAAATCTTTGATTCAAGGGTTCGATTTTGTTCCGTGTGTCTGTGAGTTTTACCAAAGGTAGGAAGGGTAAACGAAATTGGTCGTCGGATGCTCGTCCATGTTAGCAAGAACATTTTCAAACTCCATAATTTGCTTACAGGAATTCCGTTGCCTAATCCGGCCCAAGAGAATCAAGACGATGTATCGCGGTATCAAACAGCCACGCAGAAGTCTCAGGGCTTAATGAAGAATAAATCGAATTAAGCCCTCCAATTTTTGAACCCTAATTCAACTACGATTAGGTATGATCCTAACCAAGGCGGCGATTATATACTACTCAACTCGTGGAATTGGTGTTTTCCACGTACCAGGAACCAAGTCACGTTTTACACGCCCAAGAGCCCCCCCATTGGAGTTTATATCTCCACCCCAGCAAATCATCCCAGTCTTACCCCAGACTTGCCAACCTCGCCAGCAATTCACCCACTTACAATTGATCATGTCCTAGCTTCACCAAAATCAAACCACATGAATTTCAACGTCGTACCTAGCTGAACAGAGTCTCACATTCAAATTCATACATCATTGTCTGGACCGGAATGCGGTCCGGACGTGTGTCATTGTGCAGGACGAAAGTCAAAGTGGGGACGGACCGGTATCTCCGTGGCCCACGGGGACGATGAACCGCATTTCAAGGTGTTCCCACTCCACCACCATCCATCCCCTCCAAACCCCTCCATTCCCCCGCCTTTTGTCTCGACAGACAAGACTAGTGATGGCCTGGCTTGCTCCCACCGATGGCGGGCAACGAAGTGGTAAGCAAAGAAATTTGCCGAATTAAGTAATTCTTCCCTGCCCTTTCGCCCCAGAGTTGACATATCACTTGGAATACCTACCTCGTCTTGCAATACGTACCTACATGCTCCGAAATAGACAGACCCTGTAAAGAATAGAAGCTTGGTCCCTTCTTCTCCTCTCTTAGTCCACCTGAAATCATCCATCCAAGCGCCATCTCTCCCGTTTTGACTAACACCCATTCCGCACTTCACGAGGCTCTCGGAACAAGCCATGGCTTCATCAATGGAAGTAGAATGCTACCTCCTCTCATCCAACCCAGACGCCCCAAATAGCCCACTCCCCGTAATCCACTACAGAAACGTCCTCCCGGAACCCCGGAATGAGGAGTCGGTGACGGAGTTCCTGACCCGGAACCGGTGGGAGAAGAGGGTGAGTCTGTCATGATCACATCACAATGTGCAACCTAGACCTCAACTTTCCTTTTCCGCTACCTTTCTCTTTTCAAGATCTCTCATTACCGTCACGATACGTGCCTCATGTATCTAGTGAGAGTAAAACATCCATTCTCAACTGACACTTCCGCGTCCCCGGCAAAAGGGTACCTGGGGCCACATCCCCATCCGCCACTTCCACCCTAACAGCCACGAGTGCTACGGTACGTCCAACTAAACTCATCACCCCGACCAATATTCTTTCATTCCCTCCCATACCACATCGACTTGATCTCGAGCCGTGAAGTAGAAAGCTCTAGACAAGTATCTAACCAACTGAAAGGCATCTTCAGCGGCTACTCAACCCTCCTAATCGGCAAAATCAACGAAGGCACAGGCCAAGAAATCTCCGTATCGACGGGCGACGTCATTGTTCTACCCGCGGGCACGGCACATTCTTGTCTCGAGAGCTCGGAAGATTATCGATATATCGGTGTCTACCCCGAGGTCAGTCTATTTACTCCTGTCCACGCTATACTCACCCTTTTCATAACACACCCTGCATCTGAATCATGCCACCATGCTTCCCTCTTCTTCTCCAGATATACCAATTACCTAGCTACTTTTATCCATCTTAGTAGCCACATCATATAAAACAATGGCATAAGGCAATTAGCTTACACTGTACACATAATCTAGGGTTGTCCAAGATGGGTGAATGAGATGGGCAAAAAGCCAGCCGGTACTTTCAGCCCCGTCATCAGAGATGTAGGCATGCCGAAACGGGATCCAGTATACGGAGTAGACGGGCCGTTGATGAGACTCTGGCATCGGAATGTGCTAGCAAAGTTGTAAAGAGCGGCGATGGAGATAGGATTCATTTGTGACGATACACATGATATACATCACTCACGAGAAACGTCACGTAACTTGGTGGGAAGGCTAGTCATTCATCCATATGTGAGCATGCCGTGATAGTTGGTATGATGCTACCCACGCCTCAATCTAAACCTCTGCAATCCTTCTAATCTTCATGCGTCTTTCCTCATCCCACTTCGTACAAATACATGGACAGGTACCCTAATGATACCAAGGGGGCTCGTCTCAACCCTTAGCCCCCGATTACACACGATACGCAACAACAAGAATTTGATAATACAGCAGAGTAGGGGGTTGTGTACTCAGAAAAGTGGTAAAGCTTTCAAGGTCAGTCATCTGCATCGTCACAAGCTTCACGTTAAAATCCGCAGGCAGCGAACATAACTAAGCGTTAACTCGTGAGGTGTGTGTGGTACTGAAGAGGAAACAAGAACTGGGAAAAAGAGTAAAAGAGGAAAAAAGACATTAGGAAATATTCCTTTGCGAGAGTCGCCCCTCGTATGCGTATGATGCATGCCAATGCAGTCGTCATCGTTTCCCAAATGCCATGTTCGTGATCCTTCCTTCGCCGGTAGGAAAGAGTTCAAAAGAAAAAAAAAGGAAATCCTAGCTGCCCTGTTTTATACGCCTTTGCGCTCCGACTCTCCATGCTATCCCACTGTGGTATCATTCGCCTGGTGGCATAGCCAGGTCAATTACGATCAAATGTAGTGCGCCCAAAGTTGGCAGCACAGGGTTCACAGCGTAGAGCCGTTTGCTCGACTTCACCATAGCCCTATTAAGAGCTCGCTTTACTGAGTAGTGGCAAGCTTCTGGAGAGCTAGCAAGACACCTAGTCACAATTAATACTTGAGTACGAAATTGAGCAGAGGGACAATCAACTTACCGCTCACACCTTGTGTCAATGTCGCACCGGCCTCAGTGTTGCGGCTGTGCAAGCTGACAGTTACAACATCCTCGACAACCTTGTCTTCTCCAAGGGCGTTGGCCCACTTGAACACCTTTTCATCCTCACGCCCGTCACCAACGACCATGAGGAAGTCAACAGGGCTCTTGTGCTCCGAGTCAGGGGCCATGTGGACGCGGAGATCATCAAAGATCTTTTCTGCCGCGGTGCTCTTGGTCCAGTCAATGGGCTCAACGACAATGGAGCCATCGAGAGGAATGGCGTGGACACGCTGTGCCTCGCATGCATCGTTGACATGACTGGCACAGTCTCCAGCCTGGCGGGCCGCGGACTCGTAATCCTCGGCGCTCTTGTAGTGAAAGATCAAGCTGCAGCGCCGCTCTTCGATTTCGGCACCGGGGGTACGCTCGAGGAAGTAAGTCATGATGGACTTAACGGACTCCTTCCAGCTGGAAATCTGCTCTCTATCGGCCATCTCCTGCCAGGTGTTCTTGCCGCAGTCCTTGAGGAAGCAGCCGTTCTCGGCAATGAGACCGAGGTTGGGTACGCGGCGGAATAATCGGTCGAGCTCTTCGGGGCGGCGGCCGGACATGATATAGACGGTGTTGCGCTCGTCGAGCAGAAGCTCGTTCAAGACATCCAGGGTACGCTGCTCCAATTAGACTTGTTAATAAAGCAGAGGTTCTTTAAAAGATTCTTACCTGAGGGCTGACAGGGATGATTTGGTTCATCGGGCCCCAACTAACCAAAGTGCCTTCGTAGTCGAGGATAAAGAGGCGTCGATTGCTGCGAGAGTATCGCTGAGCCAGAGTGTTGATGTTGAGACGCGGGACCGAAGTCTGATCGTGCTTGTGTTGCTCGTCGTATACGCGATCGAGGCGGGACAAGAATTCGCTGAACCAGTGCGATCCGGTGTGGTGCATGACGGCCGAGTAAAGCGCAGTCCACCGGCGTTCCTTTTCTTCGTCGCCCATCTCGAGTGCTGTCTTGATCGCGTCGGCGCATTGGCGGTAGTCCCAGGGATTGACCGAAAGCTCGTTGCCGCCAAATAGCGACGATGTGCCAGTAAATTCAGACAAAATTAGTGAGCCGTGCTTCTTCTCGGAGAAGACCTCGCCATCCTGGCAGAAGAGATACTCGTGCGATGTCAGGTTCATGCCCTCGCGCTGGCTCGTGATCATCAGCGCATCGGCCATGGTCAACAGGGCAAGGTACTGGGGGTAGTCGATATCCTGCTTCAAGTAGACGACGGGTTGGTAGGCCAGGTTGGCCCAGGAAGAGTTGACTCGGGTGACAATGTCGCTAACAGTCGCATCCAAATCAGACTTTTCGCTACCGGAGAGGGCGACTTGGATGAGGACAATCTTGTCGCGCCATTCGGGATTCTTGTTCAGGAACAGCTCATAGGAAAGAAGCTTCTGACGAACGCCGCGAACGTGGTCGAGCTTGTCGCGAGCTACAATGAGCTTCTTGCCCTGGTAGCGCTCCTTCATGATCTCGACCCATCTCTTCACATCGTTGTCGCCGCGGTGTTCGCTAAGGTTGACAGGATCAATGCCGATGGGCAAGTTAACCACGTCGACAAAACGGTCCTCCAGCTGCAGTCCATCAGTGGTTGCTTCGACACTCAGCAACCTGCTGCAGGTCTGCAAAAAGTGACGAGTGTACTCGTGGATCTGGAAGCCAATGAGGTTGGCACCCAGCATGCCCTCGAGA